ACCTTTATATGTTCTACTCTTCACTTACTTGTCAGCATAGGTCGGCATTGATGTACAGAGCCGACAGAAGACCTTGTTTATATTGGCATCATATTGAGAGGTGCAGCCAGTGACGCGTCATAAAACCAGGAAGTAAGCTGCTGGTTCCCTCGACAAAAAGCAATGGGATTTCTGCACAGGGTTTTGGAAAATAGCTGGAAATAAGGTCTGTGGAAAACAAACCTGTTTGATAAATGCACGTTTTGTTCAGCCGGATAATCTCCACATGTCTACCCTACTTTTATCATTTTCGAATCATAAATCTAATCGATAGATTATAAAAGGGTTTTAGTACGCGTCACTGCACCACGAGAAGCCAACTCCATCGATCAAGCTGGCTGAAACTTTCTCTCCCTCTTCTTCTCATGCTCCCTGTCACTCTCCTTTAACTCTTCCGGTGACTTTCTTTTATTTGAAGATTGTTTTTTGCACGGCGCTTGGCCGGTTACCGCTGGTATTAAAAACATTTTGGCGAATGGTTAGGTGGCGCGATAATCTGTCGTGAAGGAGCGCACTCCCGCTCACGGGAGCCTGCTCGCGCTGCGCTCCGCAGCAAACAGCTGTTTGCTTTTCAGCCAACAACGACAAGCGACTCACGAAACGCTATGTTGTAGCGTTAATAAACGAAACAATTTCACACAATTGCTAGTCAAAATACCAATACCACAGGAAACATTTTTTTTTAAACAATATTTTTAGTGGCCCGAGCGGGCAAGTGGAAAGTACGTTATGCTGGCCTGGGGTGTCCAAATAGTGCTTCCAGGCCAGCGGGCCATTTATAATGTCGAGCCCAAAATAATTTCATATATAGCCTTGTCTGTACATGATGTTCTTATGTGAATCTCCTCAAATCCTCGTTAAAACCATTAATATAAATGTTTTGAATATTGCATTTAAGACTTGTAATCTTCTGAAATGTTACAACATTGCCTGAATAGTCAGGGAAATCATGTTTCATTAAATAGATCCTTTTTTCACAGGTGTACAGAAGCATGAATATGTCTGCGTACATGAAGAAACCAACACACATTTGGAGAAACATGATTGTGAAATGCCTCCTCCACCCGTACCCATCAAGACAAGCTGTCAGCTCTCACCCTGTCCCCCCAGGTTAGGTTCAAACTCAGCACTGTGTGATTTTTTTCTTTCGCTTTCCACATTCAGCTTAGCACACATGGTTAAACATGAATAATTTACTCTTGTACAGGTGGGATGCAGGGTTGTTTGGGCCTTGTAGTGCCTCCTGTGGTGGAGGAGAGAGAGTGCATCCTGTAAGATGTGTTCAGGAACATGGAACCAATGTGGTAGAGGTCCAAGATGCTGAATGCCATCCTCAAACAGCTCCAAATGCTGTAGAAAAATGTAACCTGCAACACTGTCCTGCCAGGTAAATCTACACTTTACTGATGAGCATTACTGTAGGTACATGGGTCAAATAACTTCCTTTGGTTGATATTTAATGGTTATCCTGATATGAGACTGAACATCGACTTCATCATGTATGTGTATTTCTCTTGCTTTAAATGCTTCATTACAGTAAAGTGATGCTACACTATTTCCTGAACACTCTAGCCTGATCTAGCTGACCTATTATTTGCATTTACCAGCACTATATCAACGTACTGATATTTATAATTGATGATGTTATTGTGAAAATATTTTTTGAAAAAGCACCAATAGTCAACCCTAAAATGTTGATATTTAATTTATATTTAATAATGATATTTGAGTTTCTCCATATAACTAGCATTAGGGAAATTAAGGCTTTCAGGTGTTGAAAAGAGAGAACGTAAAATCCCCTAACATGTGTTTACAGATGGCGTGTGTCAGAACCAGGGGAGTGTTCAGTTGTGTGCGGGCCAGGAGAAACAGAGCGTGTTGTGTCATGTGTCCGGTCAGAACATGGTCAGGAAGTGGAAGTGGATCAAAGCTTTTGTTCTCTGCAGATAAAACCACCTGACACTGTGCCCTGTGTGGTAGATGTCTGTCCCATTGGGTGGGAATCAAAGGGAGAGGTAAAGTAAATAAATCTCCCTCTAATAAGAAAATCTGAAGCATTTGTAAACATTGTTTTCCTTGACCAGCAGACGCCCATACTGAAGTCTGGTGTGCTGCCACGCTCCAGACAGGCTCCGGTCTATGTCTGGAGTCCTGTTATCAGCCAGTGCTCAAAGACCTGTGGGAATGGTGAGTGAAAATGATTGCTTACCATCACTCAGAAACAGAAAGTCCTAATCAAAGAAGGTCAACCAAGGACTGATGCTTATGTAGGAACCCTGCAGGTGTGGTTCTCCTGTGTGGACCACCAGACCAGACTGGGGGTAACGGACGTCCACTGTGATCCTACTACAAAACCTCCTCCTCAGTATGAGACCTGCAACACATCTCCCTGCCCCCGCATGTGAGAAACCATTCTTGACTTGTAGATGTCTAGTAAAATGCAGTACATTTCATTTTATTTGGTAGTCTTCTATGTAAAGATCAAGTGAAAGAAGCTATGTTTAAATGAAGGGCTTGAAAATGACAGCAGCAACCATTTTTATAACCACCAGGTGGCACTCTAAGCAAGGAGTCTGCAGTGTAACGTGTGGAGGAGGGGTGGCCAACAGGGTGCTGTACTGTGCAGGAGAAAGAGACGGGGAGGAGGAGGTGGTGGAGGATTCAGAGTGCAGTGACTTTCCCAAACCCACAGCAGTAGTTTCATGTAACAACCACAGCTGCCCAGCCAGGTGAAGCACACACACAAACACCCACATGACAGAGATACATCTTTGCTCATGGAAGATTGCTTAAACAACACTGTCATTCTTCCAGGTGGAGGGTGTTCAGTGCAGCACCCTGCTCTGCATCCTGCGATTTGGGTTTAGCTCAGAGGACTGTGTCCTGTGTGCAGTTTGTCCATGGCAGGGAGAGTGTGGTGCCGGAGGAGAGCTGCCATGCAGCCATCAAACCGGCCACCACAGTGCCCTGCCTGGTGAGGGTCTGCACCTTCAGATGGGAGGTGAAACCTTGGAGCCAGGTACATTTCACAGGAGACACATGGATTGAATATGAATATTAGATAATAGTCAAAATGAAACGATTAGCTGATTAATTGGCAAATTGACTGACAGAAGATGACTGGGCAACTATTGATAATCTCTTAATAATTGAAACCATGATTCCAGCTTCTCAAATGTAAGGATTTGCAACTGTTTCAAAAATAAGAACAAAGAGAAATGACTTGAAAAGGTATTACACTTTACATTATTCAATTTGTTTGGCTTAGTGTCTTCCATATAGAGTCAGATTCACATTTAAAGGACCGTGCCAGACTTTCTAAGTGTAAAATCAAATTATCTCCATTTGTTATGGAATTTAATGAAAACGAATTGCTGCCTGTCTCTGGAAATGTAGAAGAAAATACATACAAAAATGTAATTCTATCCAATTTTCAGAAAAATATGTTAATATACAAAGATATGTATGGCCTGACTTGAAAACACAGTGAAATTGCCTTTTTAATTGTCCTTTAAAACATTGTTTGTTCCTGGAATCCTATTGGAATCCGCATGTTATACCACTTTCTTTTCTTCTTCTGAATGAATCCTGTTTATTGTGGTATACCTTGTCCATCCAGTGCTCGGTACCATGTGGGTACGGGATCCAGTCCAGAGCCGTGTCCTGCATGGGCCCCTCTCATCCGGAACCCCTCAGCCCTCAGTTCTGTATGCACATGCCCAAACCCATCACCATACAGGGCTGCTACATGGGCGGCTGCGGAGACGCGGCACCAACCTCAGATGTCATAACTGCAGTCACACCACAGCAACAACTGGACCATCCTTCTCCGAGTCCAACAGAGCCAATCACCATCCTACAGGCCACTGCAGCGACCATCCCAACACCTAAACCCAGTTAGTACACAACAACTACCCATTCTCATTAAGAGTTGAAGGCAGCTGATGGATTATCATTACAGTGTCTGCTCTTTACCAGGGGCATGTGGACAGCTTCTCCTGGAAGAATCTGGCATTGTGGATTTGAAAGACATGACAGGCCGCTGCACGGTATCCATTGGTCGACCCCTAGATGAGGTCATCTATATTAAAATGCAATCTGGCTCCTTGAACTGCAGCGAAAGTATGTTTATCAAAGATGTAAAAAGATATTTCATATGCCATAGCTAACGCATCCAAACAAACATGTATCACTCCATGCATCTTTCTACAGAGGAGTTTGTTGTATTTTTTGACCGACTGGCATTGGTGAAGAAGTGCGAGCAGGTAGCAGGCAGTGAACTCACCACCAGAACCAACGTCCTGCTGGTGCGTCAGAATCTGCTCATCTCTGGGAACGGGGTTGTGTTCACCTATAATTCACAGAAAAACATCAAGAAGAGCCATCATCAGGGTAAGAGTGTGGTCAGCACATGCAGTTCATTTTTGCCTTCAATCCAACAGGCTGACATTTACCCTATTTTAAAAGATTGGCTGATGCTTTGTGAAATAATTAAAAGTTATTATTAGAGGAAAAAGTTAAGTGACCCCATGTTTGAGCAGATTTTTAACAAGCAAGTTTTTGTAAATGTCTTTTGTGAGACTTGTCATTTACATTTCCCAGGCATAGCTGAGGGGTTGGTAAATGTCAACTTTTTCTCTTGTGTGCCTTTGTTTAAACGGAATCTACTTTATTCCCTTATACTGTACGTGATCTGCACTTACTGAAGGCAGGTGGCAGGTTAAACAGTAAGTGAAAAAATATCAGAACTACAATTTATTTTCTTGCTCAAAATATATAAAACGTTTCAAGACCTTCATTGTTTCCCCTTCATATTCACAAGGACCATCGGGAACTATGTAATTGCCTGGCCATCCCTTTGAAATGCATTTGGCTGTTCAGGCGTTCATGATGTTTTGTTAAGATGAAGTGTACTTGTGTCTCTGCCCCACAGATTGTGACATTCAGCTGTTTTCCCCAACTGGCGTCTTTGAGAATCCAACAACGGCAAACGCTAACCACACCTGCAGAGTCCTCATCAATGCCCCTCCCTCAGTAAAGATCAAAATCCAAGCGCTTCACATAGGGTTAATGTTTAACTCCACCAACTCCCAATCTACATACATCATGGTGCGGACAACACATGGTTTCAATGGTATATGTTAAAATTATGTTATAATGTAATATTGACTCCACTATTTCCTCTTTGTTTCTTGTTCAGATCCGGGACATGAATGTCTTAAAGACCAATGTGTTTAAAGGCCAACAACTGTTTCAGTGGCACTCCTCTGGAAACATGGCTGAGATTGAATTTCATGGAGACTACCTGAATGCCAAAGGGAGTTTCAGAGCTGAATATTCCTTTATGCGTCTCAGACACTAAATATGAACAATTGTGAGGAGGTTTGAAATTCCTTTATAACATTTCTTTAGAATTCTTTATTTACAATAAACACGTTTTTGTAACAGCAAATTACTTCTGCTGTACTTCTGTTGTGTGACCAAAAATAAATACAAAACAAACCAAAGCACTCAAGTTATTTTAGTAAAACAAGGACAGTATCATGAAGATGGCACAAGCGAAAGAAATATCACAAAATCCAATCAGCAAATTATGTTAATATACGTATAACCTATATTGAAATATCTAATTTCCACCATAAAGAACTGCCTCTCATTACAAAAGCAGTCACAAATTGCACTTCCCACGACCCTTTGGTTATATATGTCCCCTCATCCTAGCACTACCAGTACATTCTGTGTCTACGTCAGCGTGGCCCTCTGCCAGCGTTCAGTTCCAGCTCCTGTTCAGCCCGGCGGGACACAAACACCTCGCCAGGCACCGCTGTGGGATCACTGCTCGGCTGTAGCTGTGTCTTCCAGGAGAGCTCTCATGTCCAACAGAGCATCCTCCACAGCCCGGGCAAACTTGGCAGCATTCGTCTCGTCACAGCTGTTGAAGGCCGTGATGGCGATGTTGATGTGCTCATCCATGGGATTGTAACACACTCCATAGCCATCTGGCACCATTGGACCGAAGCACATCACACAGTCTGTCTTGGAGCCAACCTGGACACGGAGACGGGAGAGATGAGGGCGAGCGAACAAATACGACAACAAGTAATCATTCGCTCAGGGATAGTAAACTGTGGATTTTCTTAGATGCAAATATACCTGGCTGGTGGAGAGATGAAAATGCTCAGCCACAGCAAAAGAGGTATCCATGAATATCTCAGGCATGGAGGTCAGCTCTTCAATACTCAGCATCTTCAGCCCCAGGAGATGCCTGTCTATGGCTTGTCCATGAATTGCCTAAGAAAGAAAAAGTTAAATGTGTACGACTGAGAAATCAGATGACGTTTAAAAAAAAAAAAAAAAGATTTAATGTTGATAATCTCCAGCTCTTACATCGTACGTGTTGGTCTTATGCGTCTTAGCGGCCTCCTGTAGCAGCGCCAGCCTCTCTGTGTTCTGTTGACAGTATTTACTGTTCAGAAGGACAGCTTACATGCCTTATATTGTACATTAATTGTGAGACTAGCGGTTTAACAGTACCTGTTTAGTTGGGTCTTGCATTGCCTCAACAAATTTAAACGAGTCTGCAGTAGTAGCACGGACAACATCTGTGCGCCCGTATTTGAACATTCGCAAAGATGCACTCTCATGTGTAGAGCAGCAAATATTATACATCCTGGAATTCAAAAACAATACACAGGCTGTATTAATTGATACTCCCAATTTCCATGTCCAGCATCATTTTTATATTGGAAAATTGGTTTCTTACCTGAAGTAGGCAAGTTGAAGAGCCATTTGCACAAAGGCATCTGGACTCAGCTTATGTTTCTTTGGCACACTTTTCCCAAAATGAGAAAACATAAGGGCCCTCACGTCTAAGTCATGCACCATTCTGAAGAAACAAAGACAAGAGTGAGTCAGATAAAAGGTCTGATAATACAATTGAGCGAAATCAGTATAATAATAATCACAATTGCACTTTACATACATGTTCATGTTTTGTTTGGCACTCTCAATGTCTCTTTTGACCTCAGGCGTAATGTTAAAACGCAGTTTCTGAGGCATGGGCAGGGGAACCATGGGAGTGCGAACAATTTCCACTTGTTGCCTGTTGAGAAAATATGAAACATTTAGTGCATTTGAGCTTATTTTTGAAAATAGGAAAAACACTCATCTAAGAATGAAAAGACACATACATTAATTTAACAACGAAATCGATGAGAAACACGACGGGTGGACCCTCAGCAGGAGCATGTTCGTACATCAGCCCACATGTGCCGTCCTCACCGACAATGAACTGAGAAATATTGACAAGCATTTTCAAATTCCCAAACATTACCTCACTATTTTTGATCAATTGCAGTATAAAGTCACTTGTCTAAAACTCACCTGTAAGGTCTTGTCAAACCAGCGGTTGCCACTGTTCCAGCGAGCTCCTCCTCCATGCAGCATCTGTGCAGCCACACGGCTCGGATACAGCTCGTCTGACACGCGTGGCATCGGGGCATCAAGGCAAACTGTGAAGATACCTTTCTGGATGGCACGGACTGACTCCTTATTTGTCTTGTCTGAAAATAAATAAAACAGCCTTGTAGATTGCATTTCTCCATACCAGATTTTCTCTCAAAGAGTCATTTAGATTCTTGGACAAGATGTATTCTAAATAATAATAATAATAATAATAAAGCTTTATTTATACAGCACTTTTCATAAAACTCATGCAGCTCAAAGTGCTTTACAAAATGACACAAGTTAAAAACAAACAACAAGAAATTCCCCTCAGATTATTTGTTAAGAAGGTACATGCAGCAAAATATAACATGTTATCAGATAGACACAAGGAGGTAACATGTATGATAATAAAAAATAAAATAAATAAAGGTTTCTCTCTGACAGATAAGACACAAGACTGAGTCAAACTGAGTCGATGCAACAATATAAAATATAAAACCCCATAAAACAAAGTGAACATATAGGCACAACAGAAATACAAATAAAAAGATTAAGACCTATAAAATAAATACAAAAATATAAAAGGTAGGTAAAAAAATAAAGACTAAAAGAACATTTAAAGTGGGGGGTCGCTAATAAAAAAAAAAAAAAACGTGTTTATAAGAGAACACATCTTTTAAAATGGAGGATTAAGTAACAGGATCTGAAAAGTTGTTGTATCTGCATTGCTCACCCTTTATCAGATTGTTATAGGCTTTTCCCCAGGTGTTTCGATGCTGTGATGTGAGGATGCCAATAGGCTCCTTGTTAGTCTGCAGAGAGGAGTTCCAGATCTTCTCCAGCTGCATGTAGATCTGGTCTACTGTCAGCGGAGTGCCATCGCTGTGGTACACATCTAAGACGAAGAACTGAGGGGAAAGGCCAAATGTATTTAATACAGCCACGGGTCCAGTGTTTCTTTATCAATTGTATTTCTGTTGAGGTCTTATAGCTGAAACAAGAGTAACAGCAGTGCCATCTAGAGTACCTGGAAGTTGTGGACCACAGTGATGTGAGTGACAGGTGTATTCCCGCTGTGGTAATTTACAACAGTATCTCTCTTTGGACCCGGGATACGGCAGGAGGACAGGATCTTGTAATACTGGTCCATGCACAGCGGCTTCCCACTCAGGTACTCTATAGGCAGGGTATCACTGTGACACAGCAAACAGCGTTATATATTTGCAGATTTGTAAACCAACTGAGAAGTAATGATAATGAGCTTTCTGTTAGGATATATGCATTAATTTCTGACAAACTCACGTGTCAATCATTTTTTTAAAGTCCAAAACTCCTGCAATCAGTTTTGCAGCAAACCTGAAAAAGAAGACAGTATCAGTAGTAAGACAACATCAGTGTTATGGACAAACATATTCTGACCCAGTAGTCAGCTCTGAAAGATGACATTCACAACTGAATGTCATTCAATATGACCTCCTGGTGTCAGTCACTGACAGATTGTAAGCCTACTGTACCCGACACACTTAATACTGCAGCCTTCACTGGAGTATTTCTCTATGTGGCCACTGTGTCCACTGCATATCCCACGGGTCACAGTAGTCCAAAACAGCTTTGCAATGCTATGATGTGCCAAACGGCTTTAAATAGCCAGCCTTTGGAGGGAAGCATGCGCAAAGGTCAGCTTTAAACTCCATCTGTTTTATACAAGCTTGTTTACACTGCGTTTATAGTTTGAATATTTTGATGCAGGGTTGTATGAGGTACGTGTCCATAGTCAGTGTGTTGCCTATTGATAAATATAGCATGCCCCTAGTTTAGAAAAAAAGGCTGTAGTTACTGCACTGAAGCGAAGTAATATTCTGCTGTGGGAGTTGGTGGTCTACCGTTACCTCGACCGTTTTTTTTGTGTGTGTGATTGTTTGACTTGGTGGAGTGTGATGGCTTGGTTGTCATTATAGATGGACATAACGAATCAGTTCAAATTCAGAAAACTCTTACTGCAAGTTAAAGCGGTGTGAATAGTCTAAATATAGCAAACACTTAAACTGATGTTGATTATCTTTAGGTGGCCTGAATGGGTTTTGTACCTAGCCTAGACCAAAGCAGTACTTTGCTTTGCTTCCTTTCCTATACTCCTTCCTGTTTCTCTAAACCGTGGACATGCCGACCACCGTCCACTACACAATGACTATTGATTAGAACCTCATAAAACCCCACTTCAAAAAAAAGGTTAATCAATCATAACATGTGAACCCAAGGAATTTACAGCCCACATTAGAAGTACTGGCGATTCTTTTTTTTGTGAAGGATGGCTTGGATCTCTAGTTCTATGTGAGCTTGTTCACACTGCATTTAAACTTTTTGGGAAACCTATATTTACGCGCTTATATTTAGGCAAGATTTTTTTATAACCGTATAATAGGAACTCAAGAAATTGGCAGCACACATCAGATGTACTGGAACTTCTTTTTGCGATAGTAGGGTTTTGTTTATTTGGATAAACAATTAAGTTATTGTGGTTTTACAATGGATCCTTACCTCATCTGTCCTTGTCGATCTCTGAAATGCATGCGGGGCAGGATAACCCCAGGGCTGGTGTAAACCGCCAACGGCATCCGGCAATCGAGATAGGCCGACTGCATCCACCATTCTGAAAGCTACATAGAGCAAGATTCAGAAATCAGGACTTTCCTCACCAGGATTACCACAACATATTCAGCTAAATACAACCAGATATCTACCCAGCTGTCGGTCTTGCTTGCCCGTCGCTCCAGGCTTTTCTGCAGCCTACTCCCAACACCACCCTCAAGGAACTCCTTCACCAGCTGCCGTGTGTGTTCCAGCTCCTCCTCACTGACAATGGGCTCCAGCGCAGTAAGGTATCTCTCTAATGTCTGCTTCAAGGGCGGCACAGGCAGCTTAGGTAAACCCTCCTGGTGCATCATGGACCTCTCTGGGATCTGTATAACGGGTCTGACCAGGCGACATGGCTTCACTATGCCACGCCGCAACTGAAAGACAAAGTCCTTATTAGCATTTAGCA